CCGACGTTGTGCCAAGACAAAGGTAAGTGGTAAACCTGAAACTTCAAACTGCTTCATGAATTTATCGCGCCTACTTGCATTGTTGAAATCTCAAACAGCTACTTTTTAGAAATGTTTAATAACCATTCTTAATAATTGTCGTTTTGAAATGATGATTGTTACATCTGAACAATAATCATTTTTCAAAATGGAATCTTCAGTCCTAAGTTTGCCAACTACAAATATAAAAAGTAATACATAAAAAAGTACTCAGATAATTATATCAGTTGAGTTGAAATATTTTTAAAAGTGCATAAACTGTTAGTCATTCTGATTAGTCCGAAGTTTTAAAAATCAGTTTATCCAATAATTTATCTGTCAATTTATCTTATTATTTAGCTAGGTATCTATCTTACTTTACTTACTGATTGGAGTATTTATCTTGCAGGTGAAATCGCAGTTTGGTGCCTCAATTCGTCTTCCAAAGCTTGTCTGGGAATAACCCCAGGTAGGGGTCGCTTTATTTGCAAACTAAAATGAACTAAGGGCAATAATTCTGATGGCAAAATGCTGAATCGCCAACCTTACATTTACCTGCATAGATACTGCTTTACTATAGTTTGTTCTATACCTTTTCCACTGCTATCAACGGATACTCAGTATATACTATATCTCCGTATTTGGTTACTATATACATCATTGACAACCATGGGAAAAAGAAACGTACCCATTTTGCTAAAATGCACCGTCACTCTGCCTTGTGTGTTGTAATAGTTACATGCAATTCCAGCCGTCTCGCCATTTTAATCACTTGACTTGTATTGATGAAGAATGTATTTTTCACAACTTCTTTATTCTCACAGACACACTGAATGTGACCACAGCTAAATTTTTTCAGCAATACTTGAATCATTTTTTAACGTACTGACAAAGCACCAATTCAATCAATCTCCGTGCAGATATACATCAATAACCGTTATCACTTTCAGCCATCTTGGTTCTTTTGACTTACGGTTCAAGAGTGTTTCGAGTTTTGGGCAAGACCCTCTGAGCGGTTAAATATCGCATCAGACGTGGTTGATTAAAACGGATCTTCTTCTTCTCTCTCTCTCCCTTTCACTCTCCACCCTGTCAAATGTAAAGGTACTCCTAAAACGGTTTTTCTTTTTTAGTACCACATCATAATTCTCCTTCCACCGCCTCCCGGTCGCTTATTTCGAGTTATTTTTATTCATCATTTATATCCTGTATACCGCATTCATGCAATCTGACGGGCATTTGCGCAGAAATCACCCCACGATTATCCAATAATCTGTAGGCAATTTATTGGTTGGCGCTTACAAAAAAAAAGTAAGGTACGTTTGTGCAAAGGTCTGAACAAAGTATATTAATCTTTGTCGGTTTACTTATTATGTTTTTATGGAAAAAAATGGAAAGCTAAAGAATTGTTCTAAAAATGATGGCAATTTATCACCTGTTGTGTGACTGGTTTTTATTTTCGTCAGGATGCCCTCATCAGGTATAAGCAGTCTTTGTCAGCGAGGACTAATGGTAGTTTCACGAAGACACCAAAAGAAGCTTTCTTTTAATCATGGCGATTTGTAAGACTTTAATTCTGAAATAAAACAGTGCCACGTCTAGGCAAAAGTACTTCAAGGCACCGTCGACGCACTGATTGTCCATTTATAAAAACACCGAAAGAAGTACCCTATGATTAATGCTTATATTTTCCTGTTGGCTGAATTTGTCTCGTTTTAATAGAGCAGGGCTTGTAAAAGGACTAATACAAAGTGTATCCAGTCTTTGTGGCGGTCCACCGACGGCGCCTTAAAGCTAGACTCAGCAATCTGTCTCTGTGGCTTATAGTGCGATTTTTATTATTTCTAATAAACTTAATATGACTGAGGAAGTTACTCCCAATAGAATAAAAAAAAAAGATGAACCGATTGGATTCTTTGATTGCAATCAGTCACGAAAAATCTGTGAGAACAAGCCAGTTTTAAAAATGACAATGCGTCCTTCGAATCTCGACCAATTCAATGCACACTTTTGCCACAATGTGTCCCAAACAGTCAGCTTTTGTTCTAAGACTTCCTATGTGTTTTGTCACGACAAGCACTGTCCTTGTTCCGATGTTCTCGTCATTAATACTGTAGAAAAACACGGAGAAAAGCACGTTTTTGTTTGGGTTCAATTTGGTAAAGGAACTGAGGCTGAAATTTCGTCATAGTTTTAGACTATCATTTAGGTCTATTTTAGTCTGGGATAAAATTGCAGAAGTCCACTGAAATGAACTACCCTATGATCCAAGTCTAGCATCTATTAGTCCAAAAATTTAGTCACTTCTCGCTATTTCTAAAACAGGCTTAATATTTTGTTTCAGTCGCACCACTTTGTACTTTCTGCACATTTTTTTAGAACAGACCTATTAGGCCTCATTCCCATTGTAGCTATCGGTCCACGTGGAGCGATCCAACTCCGCGGGGACTCTCTCTGAATGCAATCCATTTAACAGATTAACACGCCTTTTGTTTCCAGCGTACTCGAATAATCAGCAGCTTTTCTGTATTCTACTCAAGGCCACCAGGAGGGCTTTCTCAGCCAATTGTTACAGTTCCCATGCAGAGAACAGAAGCGTCTGTCAAGACAATGAAAATCACAAAGAAACCTATTGTACTTTTTTGCAACATCATGTCGTTTTTGTTTTACGACTGGGAAAATTACAGCTTTTCCTTTTCCGACAGCATAATGAGAGACACAGGCTTGTAAAATATAATTATTTTATCTGTTTCGTTTATTTTCATGTCTTGCTTGCATGTGGCAAATGATGATAAATGCTATAGCAGTTTCTAAATTAGACTGAATAAATGCAATAGGGAGTCACCAGTTGGTTAACTTAGCTAGCTAATCAGTTGTCTAGATAATGTAACTAGCCAGTCTTCCGTTCAAACGTCCACTTTTCTATCTTTAAAGTAAAAAAACAGCAATTTATAGCGTTTGAAATTGTATTTGGATCGCCTAATGGGTTTAAACGTGTCGAGCCGCATTGTTAACGAGGTAAGATCGTGCATCTTTCAGTCTCGACGGCTGGGGGGTTTATCAGATCAGATTTCTCACCTTGTCCTTAAAAAATTGAATCTTTTTGTAAAAACTCGTTATTTCATAGCGTTTTATACATCATTTAGACTAGCCACATGGTTTGCACAGCCTTATCAGCGAGGCCTTAGGGGTGTGGCCCTTGAATATAAAGAAAGGGGGGTTATAAAGTTTAGATAAGGTCAGGTTCGGGCGATCACAGATACGAAGAAACGGTCTACTTTGTAAAGTTTATTGGTTGTGAGGTGAAAGCAATTAAGATTTACACCGCATTCAGATTCAAACATCGTACCAGTTGGATGGATCCAACTCTGTGGGGAATTCTCGCTAAATTGCGTTCAGTGTAATCAGCATAAAATTGTCTGACGAGCCTCTTTGAGTAGCTAGGGAGTAATTAACTTCCGTGTGCGCTCGGCTTAATTACTCCCTAGCAGCGCTACATGTAGGAGGCGTGTCAGACATTTATGCCGATTACAGTGATTGCACTTAGGAAGAATCTCCAGTTAGTACAATGTGTTTATCTGAACGCTCCCTAAGAGTTAGACATAATCGGTGTGTTTTTTGTGTTGCGTGTTAACTTAATTTAAGAACAGGAACTCTATGTTTTAACAAAAACTATCTCAAAAAAAAAAAACAAACTTCGACCAGGTTGGCCGTAAGCTAACGGTACGAAAAATTTTAGGCTTGTGTCTGAGAATTTTCATATTTATCCAACAACCAAGCTAATGAACCTTTTTGCTCAAAAACTATCTCGTTACTGCGTAACTGGACATGCCGGCATTAGTCTTTAATATTTTTAGACACATTACGATATGCATGCACAAACCTATTGCACACAACAAACATCTTGCTGATGTTCGTAAGCATTAACAATTGTCATCTCTTTTCGTTGTCATTATCGTTAAAGAAAGTTCAGGCTCCCCTAAGGCGAGTTGGTAAGCTTCGTTCCTGGTACAGGGGGGTACTAACGAATTTGCGGCTCAAAAAAGGTTATTTTTCATCAGTAACCCTGGGACATACATGTAATGTCTGTAATGTCAGAACTGTGGTTTTGAGACAATTTTACAATTTGATGTTTCAATCTGGAAACGTTAAGTCCCTACAAGGGGTAAGATGTTGATAATCACGGAAGGCCCCTATGACACCAAGGGAGAGAGAGAGAGAGGGGGGGAGAGTGACGAAAGAAAATGCACGTGATTAGACCGTTTTATCCAACATGAGGAGCAACAAGTAAATAGAGTAAAAGGGGAGAAAGGAAAACTAGACAAAGAAATAGCAATATGAAACATCCCAAAGTTCAAATCGTTCCATCCGTCATGCTGAATTTGTAACGCTATTTGATAAAGTCTTGGGGTACGAATAGGGCCTAGATCTAGTTATTTCACATATCTCCATATCTTAGCAGTAAAAGCAGCCAAGAAATAGGTAATTATTTTATTAATATACACATACACCAAGTGTGATAACCACACAGCTCAATTAGTGGTAATTAACGAGAAATGAAGCCGTTTTAAATGTCAATTATTTGACAACAATCTACTGCAGCACGTACGCAGCTTCCAAGATCTTTTCCGGTGAGATATAAAACACGAAAGGCAATAATATGGCACCGAAAGCAACCATGGAAATTCTAGCCCTGGTCAACAATTACTGCGCCACGCGCTACGAAAATTGCACACGCGACATATTACTGTTACCAAAATTAGTAAGCATCATAATTACACATTCCACTAAGTACTGCCAGATAGGAAAAGTATGCGCCCGTTCCATGCCACACCCACTTTTACTAGCTTCAAGCGTCATTAACAAATCTGGCTAACTCTCACGCAATGTGAAAAATTAAATGAAATGAGAAAATCACTCTAATAAATTGAAGGTCTTACAATTTTAGTCCTATCATAATTATTCCGGGAAGGCATACTCACAGATTAAGACGCCCTGAACTGTTCCAAAAATGAAAAAAAGCTGATGGTTTCAGTCGATGGCATCTACAAGGACGGACAGAGGGTCGAACGGACGAATGATGAATGACCCGACAGCTCGCCTGTCATGCAAGTCTGAAGTCAGCTTCTTGCAGTTGGTCGGTCTATAAATGTCTTTTGGCGCAGGCTCTTTTAGCTGTTAGCCACGTAGCTGATGATCATTCTACTCAGAGGGTAAATTTCCTCGTTGTCCCAGAGTTCCTCGGATGTCACAGTTCGGCAGTTTGGCAAACTTGGTAACTATCCAGACACGTCTAAGTCGGCTGCGAAACGCCCAGACTTTTTAACGCTAGGAAGCTCTTGGTTGAGTTTCGGTGAGGCGTGGCGCAATGGTTTGCAGGCAGCTGAAAATAAGTCATAATGATATATTCGCCATCTCTGAATCGAACAAAATAGAAAATTGAATCTGAATTTGGTACTGAAACTGCTGTTTGTTGCACAACAAAAAGGAATTGTCCACTTGCATGGGTTCTTTCATATGTAAACTGAATTTTTGTCATATAATCTGACGTCATTTTTGTATGTGACGTTAAATCTTGACTTGCAGCCCCAGTTCTTTTTCGTGTTCGTGTGGCCAAAGAATACCTAATTGTAACGTGATTTTCTTTCTTTTGGATAATTTCACTGGTGTGTCCAAGAGGGGGAAATGAAAGGGCATGGGTATAATTCCCACTGGACCTTGCCATTTAGATTGGAATAAGTGCTTCAAAATTTAGCAAACGAGGTCAAAGATTCAGGGAAATAATAGAGATGCAAATAGTCTCCTGGTTCGGGTTTGTTTGACACATCACTATGTGTAAATATTTTAACTGCGAAAGGACACACATGCATGTATATATCTTGAAGGGCCCAGGCACTGTGCATCGGTATATAAGTTTTAGCAAAGTCATTTAATTATATATAAAAGCTTTTCAACAAAAGCTACATCAGAAGGAAAATAGCTTCTTAAAGAAAAAAATGGGTAAATAGTGGAAAAACGTATCAATCATCAGTGGAACGAGATTTCGTGCACCCTTTGCTACTGTTGACAAAGTATTATTATATGTTGGAAGAGGGATACTTATGAAGATTGATTAGACCAGTACGATAACGAAAAAATGGCAATAAAGTCCATCGTTCACACACACCCCTGGTTAGTCAAGAAGATCAAAGAAGCAATGATTGACCCGGCATTCCAGTCGTACTTGAGTGTCCGGTCACAGAACTGTAAGATCACGGACGCAAGGCCATTTACCCGCATACCATCAAAAATAATGGTGTAACGACGGACAGTGGTCATCTCTTTGGCCACCTGTCAGACTTGCACAGTGACGATAGTGCTGACCTTCGCAGAGGTCATGCGAGTACCATTTGGAAAGTCGCCTGACCAACCCCACGTGATGAGATGATATTTTACATTGTACACATGTGAAACCGACCACGAACTGTTGCTTTTTGCCATGATACGATGATACTCATGAAGAAAATGACCTTATGTTGACGCATATTGTACATTCTTTTTGGGGGAACACATAATTTTACTTGTCAGATAAAAGTTATGATGAGATATGCAATATTGGTGAGAAACGTACATGTTCATGTAAGCGCGGCCCAAGACAGCAAACATCACTAACATGCGTTCGCCATACTTGATGAAGAGAAGCAGCTCCTAGGAGAAAGAACTCTTGACTTTCCTTTAGATACCAATGAATAGACCGATAATTGAGTACTCTCATAATCCTCTTCAAATATGAATTGGTGGTACAAGGACTTAATTTGTTTTTACTAATTCACATAACCAGTTATAACAAATACCTCTTGTATTGAGTTCTGACACCTTCATTGTAAGCGTTTATTTCTGGTTTCCCAACTGAACAGTCAAACCTTGTATCACTGGTAATTATCTTAATTGTCCCTATGCATTTTGGGCATGATATACTCATATGCAATACACTCATAATAGTGGGAGTCAAAGATGGTACAATGTATGTGTAGATTTGTCTTTCAGTTTATCAATAAAAACATCACTGTCCCTGGGTCATTATCCATCATCAGTATCGTTTATTGAGTCATTTTTACTTATAGCCCTTTGACAGGGGAGAAATATTTGCAATGACTTCAATTATATTTATGACCTTTCCCCTTGACCTTTACAATGTTTATTATGTTCTTGATTAGCGTAGAGTACCTTTTTGCGTGTTATAACAACTTGCCATAAAACAGGACGAACGGATTACCACCATATGTTGAACCTGCTTTGGGACTTGTCCTTGGAAAAACGCGAGATTGTGAGTTCTCATCATGAGATCTCATTGTGCAACGTCGACTTTATGAGGACGATGTGATTTCTCGAGTATCACATGTGACAACATTCAAGGTCAAGCGCTTAGGTCAATAAGGGGGGCTATTTTTCTGAAAGATTGTTTATTTTGATAGTTTCAGCACAATAATGGGATAGACTGAAACAAAAATAATTGTATCCAATGACTTACTAAAGTTTAAATCGATTTTCGCTATAATTCATTGATTTAATAACTGTTCAAGATTATAATTATATTTTAGGCTACAGGTACCTTATAACACAATGTATTTATCACGAAAAAGATATTTGGTCAAAGAAGGAAGCTGCGCTGTTTCTTATAATAGACTTTTTCTGCACAAGAGGAAAAAACATCACTGAGTTAGTTTTACTACATTTAGGACAAAGTGCAACTAATTGAAATAAATGAAATGATAGCATGTTTTGGATTTACAATATCACGGCAAACGGTGTAAGGCACCAAAGAAGACGAAGGCAATGATGAAGGCATATTCTAAAAATGACAAATATCCCTGCTACTGCACAATATGAGGATTTGGATTATTCTAAAGGCACGCTTTACGCGTTTGAAAATGTCCCGTATGTCATAATTGTTATCCCTCAAGGCTACTTGCAATATATTTCCCAATCCATACAACGATTTAACCCGTCAAATCTCGACCTTCCCTCCTGTAATGGCAATAAAACGGCTGTCTAAAAGAAAAATGTTTACTTAAAAATCGCACAGATCATTGAATTCATTTACAGGTACCGGTTTATCAGTGATTAGTCAGACCAGGAAATCGCTTTTTTTAAAGAAAATAAGGTCTGTAGGATGTGTAGGATACTTGTAGATTAGTAACACGTTAGATTATATGGGCAGTGGTTCGCACTGTTAAGGGCATTGGCTGCGATGGGTTTTTGCAAAAACAATTTACAACATTTACATACATTATTTGGAAATAGGTTCATTCGTTGTAACCGTAAAACCTAGAAGAACGATTATTAGTACCTGTGGATTAAGGAAGTAGATAGGACTTAATTCCTAGCTGGGAATAATTAGTAGGCGGGAAAGTGACTCGTAAAGCATTTGATCTTGGGGATAACACGCTTTGCAAGAGCAATGGGTTAATTGTATTGGAGGTCTTTGGTCAGACGAACTTGTGCATCATGAAGTGACGGAAAGGTGAAACTCTCGTCACAAACAAGATGTTAGCCCTCTAATTGAGGAAGTGTAAACAATTACGGCGTCACGAATGTCGTGCAGTTTTATCAACAGGTATATGTACCCTCCCGTACCGGTGTATATAGCACTAGTGGGTGTGAGAGCCTAATGAGATAACTTGTCTAGACAAGTAAAATATTGAAATATTACAAGGGATGTGTCTCAAAAACGCTCTTAAGTCAGTTTAGGGGTAAACCTTCTAAGACTTAGCCGACTAGGTTGCGTTTCAAAAAGTATCTGAACAATCGCTTGCCTCTTTTTATCGGTTCTTTAACTAAACCTTTAGAGCAAATTTGACAATATATTTTACTCTTAGTGGCGACAACATCCAATCTAGCTTTTTCAAAAACCTGTATTTGGGGTCATTCGTTCGTCAAAGCTCTTAGATCAAAGTCGCAAAGTCGACATTGCGTTGTTTGCATAGTCGGCTGCATGTATCAGATTTTAGCCGTCGAAGCTTAATTATCTCAAGACCCTTAGACTTTTTAGACGACAGACAGGTGAGATCAAAGAAGAGGTGGTGGTGAGGATTATGATGGTGCATGTAACAGCCATCCTGATAAAAAGGTATGTGTCTGATTACCTGTACTAGTAAAAAACCTGCATTTCCACCTTGTTCCCATTTAACATGGGCAAGACAGAGAATGAGACCAAGTTAGATGGTTAATATCAGAAGTGGGCATACCCCAGGAGTCTTTTGACCTGTTCTGGCAGTTGCAAAATCGATTGAAGTTTTTAAACGGCTACAAGAATAAAATTGTCAATCATTTACCAATATTTGGCATTCTCAAGACCATCCTCTTTCTCTCTCTCCACAAACACACACACACAAACAAATACACCCACTAATCAGACAATACATACATTGTATGTGCAGTATATAACTTATTTTTTGCTATCAGTCCGACAGTCAATGTTTGACCTGGGTCGGGATCCTATCACAGAAGTCTCTTTGTCATACTGTCAAACAATAACCATATTGCCAACAAGCAGTCTATCGCGACGTGTTTACTTGTTTGTTCTGTTATCTAGCACTGTTCAGGATCGGAAACTTTAAAAAAGCATAAATGGCATCACAGCTTGGAAACTAGATTGATGAATATCCAAATATGTTGGTGTCTTTTCTGTCTCTAAATAACCCTGGTATAAGACGCCTATACTGGAACATAAAGTGCTCATGGAAATAGTTCCTTTTCTATTCAAATTATGAAAATACCTTTGATGACACCTTGGACCTATGAGTTTGTTTGAAAGGGTGATACATGACTTACAGGTGGGTATTGGATGACTTATACCTGTAGATGGGCACTAGATGACTTATACATGTAGATGTGGTCTAATGGATTGAACTAGTGAGGCGGCATAAGGACATGTTCTAAAAAAGCTGACGTACGGACAAGTAAACCGATTTGAATATAACCTAAAAACACGAGTTAATAATAGTATGAAAATGATACAGATTTTTAACCGAAAGGTATTGGATTATTCAGAGGTACCCTTTTGAAAATAATTTATCTTTATTAGTAAAAAATTACCAAATTTTAATACAAGGTACGGGGACCTTGAACGGATTGGCGGTGGATTGTATTCATACTGAATTTTCTTAGCATTTAGTTAATTTCAAAGAATGGTCAGGAAGGCGTCTTTGGGGTCAGTTTGTGAACGAAGGAATAATGCGAGGTTGACTTTGGACTTTAAGAAAAATGTATGGGGTACATGTACCCGAGCAAAATATATTTTATGGAGTATTTGTCGCCAATTATCGGTTTTTCCTGCCTATTTTGTTCAATATGCATGCCTTCTCTGTCATATTCCCATATTATATGAAGTTTGCAGAAGTAACTGTTTTGCAGCCGAAGCTTGTTTCCCGAAATGATTTCGATGCATTGTTGAGAGGTTTTATTGAGAGAGATGTAGTTGAAATGAATACAAAAAACAGCTAAATCTTTATTAAGCAAAATCGGTAAATAAACCACGCTCTGTTGAGAATGATTAATGCTCAGCTGCATTATCTACAAACAATTTGTTTTGTTTTTATATCCAACAATGGCGGTGTTTTCGTACCGGTTGTGACAAAAGACCCTTCTGTAACTATGAGCATCGGAATGTTCCGTTCTGTCGAAAATAACGATCGCCCATGCAACTGACTTCGCGGAAACTAAACCTATTCTTTTTGACTAGATGTCTCTTCAACACATTCTAAATCCATAAATTGCTTTCTGCTCGTGTTGGATTCTTATATACTACATGTGGGCATTACCCCCGGAATACATTAATAATTCCAACATGCATCGCAGAAGAAATAAATCCAATTGTCTATGAAAGATGGTGTATTTTTGTCACGAACTATGAACTATATGTTGATAGCCAGTGATAAAACTCAATATTCCTCAAACGATCGTCTAGACCTTGAGTAGTTAAAATCTGGCTTTGTGCGAGGCATGTGTAAATCACACATAACATATGCATAAACGTACGGATATAGAATTTTAAAATATTCTCAGGATGTATAGAATAGCGGTTAATATTCTGGTACTACAACATAGAGAACCGAAAGAAATTGTTGCGGGAATCTTTGGATAGACCGTCCAACACATTGAAGTTACAGCAATAAGGTGAATAACGGTGAATAAAGGTGAATAACATTAGATGGCAGCACTTATAAATTGTAGGACAATCTCAAAGATATTCCGATGAAGTCATATTCAGCGTCAAAAATCAGTACATATATTCTATGTCCCTATACCCAACAACAATGGTAAACACGCGCAGTCAGTGAAGCAATTCCTGCAAAAAATTAAGAAATGGAACATACCGGTAAAAGGACCTGTCCATTTTTGTATCCTAAAAAATTCAGAAGGAAACATTGAGATAAAAAGATAAACTTTCAACTTACAGAGCTCTTGCCTCAGCTAACTTCCCTCTCGTTCGACCCCATGCCGAAGTGTGGAGGGGTGAGAAGAAAGGATTCATTCAAAGATTCTCTCGAGCTCTTGGTTATGGGCCGTTTGCAGAAGACGGTCCTTTATCACTTCTGACATGCACTGCTTTATACTGCGCGGGCCATCATCGAAACATTGCGAGGAGACAGAAGGGATGTTACGTGACATGAAGAATGATTTTTCACCTTCGTCTGATTTATGTGGCAACACTTTTCCCCTTTCTTAAAGCCAAATATGTATAAATATTCTTATCAGAAAAAATTTTCTATTCTCTTACTTTTGAAAAAAAAAAAGGTATGTTATTCTAAGCTTCAGCACAGTTGTCTGTATAATATTTCATAACGTGCTATCATTTAGAATTCACGCGTGGAAGTTAATGCGTGCGCGATTTGTTTATGTGCGTTTGGTTTTTCGCATGCATCTGTATCCGTTTCTGTGCGTTTCTATCTCGGTGTCGGGATATGTGTATGCGTGTGCGCGCGCATGTATGTCGCCCCTCGCGCAAACCATCTGTCTCCTCATTTAAAACAAAAGCGGTACGTGTCATACTTCAATTTCCCTCCCTCTAGTGTGTGACGCTTAGCATCGATAATTTATGACGAAAAGCGAAGGTAAGGTTCCTCCGTAACAAACATGGCTGGCGTGTGCAGCCGTTGAAAATAGACAGCCGAAATATCAATTGACTGTGATGGGGATCACTGGACAAAGAGCGTTCGAATAGCCTGGTCGCCTCAGTTTCATCGTGCGCACTGGCCAACACGGTGAGTTAAGTGTTTAAGCTGTTTGATATTCTACGCAACTCCCCCATGTTTTACTAACCTCTCTTTGGTGATAAGATCCAAAGACTCAGAAGGCGACCAATAGTGTGTTCCACTTCGTACTTCTTGTTGCTTTCAATTCGACTTCGTCTTCCCGTCCATCGCCATCGTCTCTATATTGTCTAAGATGGTAAAATGCATGCTACTAATGTAGGATGTTTACCTTGTGGTAGTCTAACAATATATATCTGTCAGACGTGGTAGCATAGAGCGCTGACTGATGAGAGGGCAACGTGTATTCGCATGCAATATAGCAGTCGGCATAGTAGAAGTACTATCTAAACGGAGATTATCTTTTAAGTACTTTCCACCCTCAAATGTGGCAGAAATCTGTTAAATCTCGATCAAAAATAGTGTATTTTCCTCCATATTTATACACAGCGCCTTGTCCGCTGAAAAGGTAATGATGTTTACAGATCATTTCTTTTTTTTTTTTTTTTTTGGTGGGAGGGGTGTAGTCGACATGCACGCGGCGCGAGCGCATTTGCAACGGGACGCCTTATGTTTGAGGTTCTAAGCTGAGTATTTCTATCGCAAGTTTCAGTAGGCTCACGTGATTAATATCCGCGGACACAAGCTCCCCATTTGTTCACTTATGACACCAAGGACAAATTAACTTGGCATCACGTTTCTTGCATGATTTCCTCATAAGGTTTATTGTCCTACCGGATACCATCAAAAGACTAAAAGATAATTTTTAGTCAGCGTGTGTGGTTATTAAATACTAGTGGCTCGGTCAGACTTAGAAATGTTAGTCAAATACAAAAGATAATAATAAATAATAATAACACTTCAGTCGAACTACCTCAGCACACCGGGCATACTGCAGAAAATAATAGATTTCAATCACCAGTGAATGAAGTTAAGCAGTATCTGCAATAACACATGCATGCTAAAATTGTGTAAAAATACAAGGTACACGCTTTTCAAAATTTTAGGACTTTTCAAATGCCTGTCGCACCTTACATTTCATTGCTATTTTACCTGATTCAAATGTTGTGACAGTCACGTCTACATTAGGACTGTCACAAGTTATGTGGTTAAAAACTTCTTTATCTCAACCACTCATAGTTTGCATAAAAACCATCATAAATATCTTTTCCCCCAGAATCAGTAGCTTCATGAAAACACAACCCACACTACGATTAGAATCTTGAAGACCAACAATAAGTTATAAATTTCCCAGCATGATTCCTACATTCTGAGGTTACCACTAATCTACAAATATATTTGATGGTTATGTTTAAACACTGATTCGGCAAAGAAGAAATGACAGACAAAAAGAGTTCCATTGATGATAGAATATCTCAAAAGGTAAACCACGGTCGAGGCTGATAAACAACCTCAAGAATGTAAATAGCAGGGCTTGTGATTTCATCACATACAAAATGTTATGACAAACGATAGACGTCTACAAAGATAAAAAGACCGTTTTTAACGAACGTACAAATCGAATTTCACTTGAATACTGGTTATTCGAACCGAAAACCCGGTGATTCAGAACCATGAGAGAACGTCGTTTAGATTGTTTGAAAATCAAAACAAACATTTTCTTTACCTAATAGGGGTAGCAAATGTCCATGTACAAGGACAATGATAAAGTGCAAATGCCCACCTTAAAATCCGCAAAAGGGCCATAACGGTAGAATCACGCAAGTTCGGTACAAACACCTGCGGACTTTCCAAACAAAATAAAACAAATATCATAGTGATTTTAAGCCCCATTCCCATATACCCCATCGGTCTACATGGATCGACCCAACTCTGTGAGGAGTCTTGCGGACTGCAATGGGCTTTACAGTGACTCGTCTCCTCCTGGCGTTAAGTAGAACACAGAAAAACTGGTGTTAATACGAGTATGTTGGAAACAAGAGGAGGGAAGTCATTCAGTTAAGCTGATTGCACTTGAGGGACACCGCAGAGTTGGGTCGATCCACGTAGACCGATGTTGTCTATGGGAATAGGGTCTTAATGTGCACTTTCCCTTTGATGAGCGTCCTTTGTCATGCCATATTTCATCTAAGACGCTATGTTCACAATTGCCAAGTAAATCAATCCACGTCTTATCGAAAATCTTCAGTACATTTTTGTAGCACGAGCAGTGATTAAGTAATACTGAGCAGTAGAAATCCTCCGTGTATGGTGTAACAATTTTAAATAGTGTCCTTGAGGAAGGGCCCAGGAGGCCATCGAAAGGTCATGGTCAACTTTTGTTTATCTGTACGAACCGATATAAAGATAGTCGATCAAAGATTTCTAGACTAAAAAGTGATTGGGCTCAGGAGCACGCCCTAGACACAGTTCTAATTGATTTTACAGCTTAAACTCCAGTTTTACCAAAAATATATATATAATAATAAGTCAGTTCCCTGGCTAAGGATGTGTGCATGTGTCTGTGAGAGTGATGTAACACTGTTCCTGATAGGGCAAGATGTGTGCATGTGACCACTGTAACGTTGGCAACAAAGATGTTAGCCACTGGAAATGACACTTTTTTGTGAAACTGGGACCTGATTCATAAATGGTGGCTGTGACTGAGTCTTGTTCTTTGACTTACACTGTCAAGAGACAGCAATTGTTGTTTGAGATATGTTACAGCCAAGGGGTCAGGCGTCCCATTAGAACTCTATACAAAGTGAAAGATATCCAATTAGAAGTAATTCTAGAGGGGACATGCCATATCAAAAAGAAAATTCATTGTCAATGCAGATGATACGAAACAAATGAATATTTTATTCAGTTTCTAAATATAGCTTGAACTAGTAAGGAGACGTTGAATCTATAACAGTACTGAAGCATCTTTGAAATACAAACGCCTTCTAAAAACTACTGGACGACGTATTGAAGCGAAAGCTGTGGGATTGTGCATCTTATTCTAGCCATCAACGTACATGTATCGTTTCAATCACGACATATTTAGTGCAAATTTGCTCTCTTGTCCTGAAGAATGCCGTGTATCGACCCCAAACCCACAGGGGCGAAAATTTGACACGCACTGTTTTTCGAATGTAACGGACAGGAACGTCAGAATTCAAGCAACTGTGGAAAGTTAATAAGCATAACTTATATTAAGCTGTAGTTTTTAGTAAAACACAAAGGAGAGAAGTAAAAAAAAAAATGATAAAGATAATGGCACGTACACTGTGTCGTGTTTATTTTAACAGGAAGCACCTAGCATAGGCACTGGTCAAAAGACCAGTTCACCGACAGTAATGAAATTTTTGAACAAGTGGCAATTCAGTGACAGATATTTTGAAAACAGATCGGATTCATTACAAACAATAAACAATCTTTAACCATTTAAGTGCCAAGAAATATGTTTAACAAGCTACCACAGCTGCGTTGACACAGATTTGATTAAGACGGTAAATCGTTCATCAAAAGACTCGTTCAGTTAACTTGTAGACTACATAAACTAATCTGAGGTATGTTTCACAAAATAACTTAAGTCTAAGATTTAAAAAAAACCTTCTAGACTAAACTTGTAGCTCAATCTGACCAGAGATAGATCATTAGTTAATGGACTATGTATAGTATTTTGCTTGTTTTGGTCTTTAAGAGCGCATTCAGAACGGCGGACTAACAGATCCGTGGATCAAATATGACGACCCACTAAAAAGCTTGACGCTTAATACCCAATTAGACAACTGGATTTCCCGCGGGGATTACGCAACAATTATTCAACTGGGTCGGCCATATTTGATCTGCGGGTCTGTTGCACCCCATTTCCATAGATTAGATCGACNATCAATCCACGTCTTATCGAAAATCTTCAGTACATTTTTGTAGCACGAGCAGTGATTAAGTAATACTGAGCAGTAGAAATCCTCCGTGTATGGTGTAACAATTTTAAATAGTGTCCTTGAGGAAGGGCCCAGGAGGCCATCGAAAGGTCATGGTCAACTTTTGTTTATCTGTACGAACCGATATAAAGATAGTCGATCAAAGATTTCTAGACTAAAAAGTGATTGGGCTCAGGAGCACGCCCTAGACACAGTTCTAATTGATTTTACAGCTTAAACTCCAGTTTTACCAAAAATATATATATAATAATAAGTCAGTTCCCTGGCTAAGGATGTGTGCATGTGTCTGTGAGAGTGATGTAACACTGTTCCTGATAGGGCAAGATGTGTGCATGTGACCACTGTAACGTTGGCAACAAAGATGTTAGCCACTGGAAATGACACTTTTTTGTGAAACTGGGACCTGATTCATAAATGGTGGCTGTGACTGAGTCTTGTTCTTTGACTTACACTGTCAAGAGACAGCAATTGTTGTTTGAGATATGTTACAGCCAAGGGGTCAGGCGTCCCATTAGAACTCTATACAAAGTGAAAGATATCCAATTAGAAGTAATTCTAGAGGGGACATGCCATATCAAAAAGAAAATTCATTGTCAATGCAGATGATACGAAACAAATGAATATTTTATTCAGTTTCTAAATATAGCTTGAACTAGTAAGGAGACGTTGAATCTATAACAGTACTGAAGCATCTTTGAAATACAAACGCCTTCTAAAAACTACTGGACGACGTATTGAAGCGAAAGCTGTGGGATTGTGCATCTTATTCTAGCCATCAACGTACATGTATCGTTTCAATCACGACATATTTAGTGCAAATTTGCTCTCTTGTCCTGAAGAATGCCGTGTATCGACCCCAAACCCACAGGGGCGAAAATTTGACACGCACTGTTTTTCGAATGTAACGGACAGGAACGTCAGAATTCAAGCAACTGTGGAAAGTTAATAAGCATAACTTATATTAAGCTGTAGTTTTTAGTAAAACACAAAGGAGAGAAGTAAAAAAAAAAATGATAAAGATAATGGCACGTACACTGTGTCGTGTTTATTTTAACAGGAAGCACCTAGCATAGGCACTGGTCAAAAGACCAGTTCACCGACAGTAATGAAATTTTTGAACAAGTGGCAATTCAGTGACAGATATTTTGAAAACAGATCGGATTCATTACAAACAATAAACAATCTTTAACCATTTAAGTGCCAAGAAATATGTTTAACAAGCTACCACAGCTGCGTTGACACAGATTTGATTAAGACGGTAAATCGTTCATCAAAAGACTCGTTCAGTTAACTTGTAGACTACATAAACTAATCTGAGGTATGTTTCACAAAATAACTTAAGTCTAAGATTTAAAAAAAACCTTCTAGACTAAACTTGTAGCTCAATCTGACCAGAGATAGATCATTAGTTAATGGACTATGTATAGTATTTTGCTTGTTTTGGTCTTTAAGAGCGCATTCAGAACGGCGGACTAACAGATCCGTGGATCAAATATGACGACCCACTAAAAAGCTTGACGCTTAATACCCAATTAGACAACTGGATTTCCCGCGGGGATTACGCAACAATTATTCAACTGGGTCGGCCATATTTGATCTGCGGGTCTGTTGCACCCCATTTCCATAGATTAGATCGACCTACTTTAGATCGACCTAACTCCCTGGGGGTTCACGCTAAATAGCTGTCAGCCGGGCGGACACGAAAGTTAATTACCCCCTTACAGCTTGTAGTAGGCGGGACGGACATTTAAGTCGGATTATCTGAAAGTAATCTAGTGAGACTCCCCGCGGGGATAGATCGATCTAAAATCTATGGGAACAGAGCCTTAGTCTTCTGTTCTGAATGCGGTCTTAGTTTAGACCGATGATCGGGCTGTTCTTATGGGGTAATGTTCTCTCTAGCCTCACGAGTTACACCGACCTCAATTAAGTCTGACTTGCACATATGCCTTTTAAGCTGAAAAGAACACGTAATCCCCCCATTAAAAAGAGCTGCCTATCTGCGCCCCTGAACACCCGTGACGGGGAAATGACCAGCTTAATGTTCATTGCTAAATATTATTATGAGTTAATAATGCCCACTTGGATATCTCCCTGTGTTATTAAGCTGGCGTAATTTCGTTTAGGTTGAATGAACTCCTTAATTAGCAATTCATAAAGACGTAATGTTGGCAGTTTTGAAATATTAGGTGAGTGCGAACAAGGGTTATCTTACACTGAAGTATTATCTGACTGGTTCCTTCATTTTACCAGACATTTGTGCTTCAAGTGGAATATTCTCATGGATGTCACATCTCCAAGTGATAGAGATTTAAAGAAAGTGGAATGTTACGCAATTATGAACATGTTATTTAAGATTAACAGAAATTAAATCTAGCATATTGAATATCAGTTGCTATTGTGATCGATTTTCAACACTTAGGCCTATCCTGTGAAGGCTTTCATTCGTGAATTAAACAAATAATATTTATGAAAGAATATCAAATACATCCACTTCACTGAATCACCTGTACCTTTACTTAAAAGTCTTGTGATGCTGATTAGCGTAACTTTAACATTTTGAATAGAGCATTAACAGTGCACCAGAACCTGTTTTCTTGTCAAATTTTATCTGAAGCGCATTTAGGGGTGCTTTTCAACTTGGCAGAAAAGATAGCCATAACATCAACAAAGTAGGGCATTTTCTATCAAGTTCAATTTTTTACGTTTATTCAATATATATTTCTTTTTCATTTTATTTGTTTACAGTGCAATTGCTGGACAGTTTCAGGTATACTGTATGTACTATACAAACACAACGGCCCATTTTTCATGAGAATACAAAATGTTCGCTCTTTTTGATGTGAAACAAAAAAGTAGTTTTAAAACATTTGGTTCAACGAGGCACCTTGCACAGCAATTCCCGTAGGCCTATTGTTTTACTTTAAACTGGAAAAAGCGGTTTTGAAGTTATGGTCATAACAGCATGCAAGGCAATGAAATGGAAAGAGGGACCCAATACTTGAAATATTTAAGCATTATTAGGCTTACCATTCACAGTGCACTAAAACACTCTGTATCTATGGTTAAGATGAAATGTTAAAAACATTTCTGTATAAAATTCAAAACAGGATTTTAGAAAATTAAGATTTGATCTAGAGCAAGAAAAAAAAAACGACAGATAATTAATGCCTTTTCACATTTATTCACAATGTCTTACATGGCGAAGATTTCTTGCAGTTTTCAATGCAGCACAAAGTAACACATAACGGTAGTGTAGCCTACCTGATTGTACAGAGAGAGAGAGAGAGAGAGAGAGAGAGAGACGGTGATAATAGGTTTCATAAAAGACACGTGATGGTACCGACACGTGATGGTACCAATACAAGACACGCTCATTACGCAGCACAATTATGCCGATCACGTGCTCTCACGCGAGAATATCATGCCCTACACAAATAAACGTGTGGCAGAAAACATTCATAACCTTTCTGACTAATTCTTGCGATTAAAAAATGCATGCCTTTCTCTGACAGCTCTATAAACGTTCCATGATCCCGAACATTAAATCTAGCTTATCGTCCAATCTTCTTTCTTCCCATTACATAATAGGCCCCTGAAGATAAAGAAGACAAATTTTACATTTGTCACTATTACACAATAACATACCGTTTGTGCTAGTGATATAGAAAGAATTCCTCTGACTTGTAGACCTCCCAAATGGCGCTTCTATGAAGTTACTTCTTGTAGCTTAGCCCAGTGTTTTAAGAACATTTTTTTTTTCAACGAAGACAGAATTTGTTCATACCCTGCATTGCTCTGACCAAACACTCTCCTCAGATTAAACTTTTTGTTTCACTGATAGAATCGATTATTTCTCCTTAAGTGTCTTAGTTTGATCTTGTTGTTGTTTTCTTTAGGTGGCAGAAAGTGAGACTGTTCAGTAAGCACAGTAAAATGAAGAATAAAATGCCCGTTGCCATGGAGATGCAAATAACTTTTATATGTCTGTTGGTGGGGACGCTTAACATAGTGACAGCTACACACGCAGGTAAGATAAAGGCCCCTATAGTCACGTAAGTCGGACGTATTTGTATATGAGGTAATTCTTTTGGTGCTTAAATAACCGAATAAAGGTCTTGTGTGTATCAGGGGATGTTTCAGCGTTCTTCTTTTTAGAATGTACATGTTCTTCTCTTTAATTGGCTATAAATCATTGCTGGTGGTGTCTTGAAGAATTACTGGGCACGGAAACATCGGTCCATAGTTGTTGCTAATATTTCAGGAAGTTCGTGAACTTTGAAACGCATGATTTGTAAATTGTGATCTTGATTTCTTCATGTACCAGGTAACCCGACATGTTTTAGATTACTTTGTCCCACAGAGGTACTTTAATTTAACCATGAGTGATCGTATTTCTTTACGATTTGTGCCGCTCGTGTTGTTTAATGTGTAATTAAAGAAGGGGGATATGTGTTTTGAAGCCGCGAATCCAGGGTCATAAGTAGACTCAAATTGTTCCCCCTGGAATTGGGGCATTGTCGCACCAGGGTATAAGTTTGTACTCACTAAAGCTACTGTTATAAAGTGGTTTGCATGTTCGCGCTCGACGTACTTGACTCGGGGCCCAGCCTTGTTATTTGCTACGTAATTATATTTGTTTTGGCGTAAAATATGAATACATGCTTTATTTGTAAAGATAGTAGTCAAGAAAAAAAGTTCAGCTGAAATCAATGTAAATGTAACGTGTTTGTGAAAATAGCCTCTCTAAATGATTTAACTAAACTTGAATAATGAAAATGCATTTTAAAAAGCCCTTGTAGGTGTTATTATTTTTTCAAATATGTTAAAATAATACATTGATCCCTATGCTAGTATTTCCTTCTTGGTACTTTATATTTTTTGATATTTGGTGGAGTACATATAAATGCATTCTTTGGCTTGTTTTTCTTTCCCAGCCTTTGGTACAGAGAGACAGCGCTATGACGGATGGTTTAATAACCTGGCCAACCAGAGATGGGGTACCAGAGGTAAGAATGGACCGATATAGTCATGTAGATGCTAGGTACTCCCATTAATCAGCCTTTATAGCATGTGCATTCAGCCTTTTAAATTATCATTAAATATCCTGAAATTAATGGAAAAAATTACAGATGGGTGGTCTGTGACTTTGGATGCTACTCTTAGTTAATAAGTAATATACAGCTTCCACAAAGGCCCAAGTGGATGACAATGAAACCCACTGACCCACAGTGTAGACCTGCCTGTGCATATAGTCTCATTATTTGTTGTATGAAACAAATTAATGTTTGCTCAACCTTGGATCTGGTGCTTGTTACTCATGGTTGTCATTGACCCTTTAAAGCTCCCATCTTCTGTACATGCTTCCACAGTGACATAGTATAAGAATGACTAGCAATTAGACCTAGACTTGTCATGAGTACACAGTACTGAAACATCTGCAAGGACACATATAAACAAATTGTTTATGTACACGTTTGGTATCACTGTAGATACACAAGTTGTTCATGTACACTGATACCAGCATCTCTGCTTAATGTTTCCATTTGATACAGAAGTTATGATGTCATTGATGAGGCAACTCCCTCCCACAGAACTGTCATGACTTCAAATTTAAAGTGGGCAAGAACACATATATATTTATTGTTCAGCGGCGTCTCTGCATAATGTTTAAACTCTATAGCTTTTTATACCTTTGACCTAACAGCTCCCTTAATTCCAACTAGCTGACATGTAAAATATAAAAACACATCCGTAAGAGCACAAATGCTTGTGATACATTTTACACTGTACCAGTCTTTCTGCAATATGTTTCAGAATGATAGAAAAGTTACTGTTATGATATTTCCAAAAGTTTAAAAATCATTATTAATAAGAATTGTTCTTTGCAGGCTGCCATCTTCTCAATACTGTTCCACAGAGCTATGATGACTACACATACCAACCATCTGGTCAAGGACGTCCTGCTGCCAGGGACATCAGCAATGCTGTCTTCAATGGAAGCAGCGGACTGCCCTCCTACAACAACCTCACAGCCCTCATGGCTTTCTTTGGTAAATTAGAGGTCTCTTTTTTTCTTCCTGAAAATTCAGGATGATGTAGTGATCATGGAAATACCCCCTCTGTGCATTGGTGGTTTGTACAATATATGCTCACTGTTGACAAACCTTGGCCATTCCTATCTCTGAAGTGGTCCTTGTCCCATGAAAAAAGTCAAGTCAAAAGTGGGTGTTGGGCCCATTCCCATAGATATCATTGGTCTGTGTAGATCAGTCCAACTCTGCAGGGACTCTTGCTGAGTGCAGTTAGCTTTACTGAATGGCACCTCTTCTCCTGTTTTACTGTGATTTGGGCCATGGGTTTACGTATTACATCCTGGAGAGACCTATATTTTGTTATTTTTTAAGGGTGCCGTTTTTGATAATTTTGAAAATTTTTGGAGCACAGAACCTGATTTAAAATAAGATGGAATCAGTCAATGGCTGGGGTATAAAACTATTGTATGCACTATTTTTATAAAAAAATATATTTTTGATAAAAAAGAATAATTTTTTTGCTTAATGGTTATCAGAAATTTGAGAACTTTTTCACTGCATAGGTGAAGAAAAGATAATGAAAATGCTTAAGTGATGCCAGAATGGTGTATGTATTTATCTTTGTGTCATATTCCAGGTCAGTTAGTCACCTACGAGATCACCTATTCTTCAATGCCAACATGTCCAGTTGAATTGGTCAAAGTTCCTATTCCAAAGTGTGACCAAGATTTTGATCCCAAGTGCTCTGGTAGAGAGATGATGCCGTTTTATCGAGCTGCATATGATAAAAGGACAGGAAGATCCCCTAATAATCCAAGAAAACAGGTAGTAAATTGAGAACGTGTTATGTAAGACAGTCTCAATTTTTTAATTATTTAATACATGGCAAAACAATGATGAGTTGATCAGGCTTTTACAAACTCTGTGGCATTCAGCAATTGAAAGTACCAAATGAACCCATTTCTGGTGTAGTGATGTTTGTTAATGTCTAATTAAGTCAAGCACAAGTTTTTCTGCATCTGTTATTTATGTCACCTGGTCATGTGACATTACAACTTGTAATTTCCACCAATAAGAAATGGTCACTTCTCATTTACACTTCTCATTTACTTCACAGATTAATGAAGTTACTAGCTGGATTGATGGCAGTTTTCTCTATGGCACACAAGAGGTATGGGCTAACTGTCTGCGAGCCATGCACGATGGACGCCTCAAGTCAGTCAATGGGAGCAGGGAGGAAGAGTTCCCAGCAATGAATCATATTCGTCTTCCTTTAGATAACTTCCCTAGTCCACACAAACATAAACTAAGTGATCCTGAGACTAAGTGGAGTAAGTGGTGTATTGATCTGCTTTTATCTTGGATTGTTGTTTAAGTGTGTGTGTGTGTGTGTGTGTGTGTGTGTGTGTGTGTGTCTGTATGTGTGTTCATTTGTTAAGTCCTTCATTTTTGTATTGATGTATTTTAATTGTTAATTTTTTCCCTTTTTTTTGTTTTTGTTACTTTGTACATACATATTTTAATTGCTAATTTTTTTCCTCTTTTAAAATTTACACTGCTGATGAAACTTTGTGGTGTTTTTGTCACGTTTTAATTGTGTTGTTTTCATCATTTTCAGTGTTTGGCCATCCTCGTACCCACATGCACCCTGGCCTCACGGCGCTGGGAATAGTGTGGTTTCGTTGGCACAATTACATGGCGGATCGGTTCACCAGCATGATGAATACCACCTGGGCTGATGAAGTAATGTTTCACAAGACAAGGCGCTGGGTAATCGCAACAATGCAGGTAGGTTCCTTACTAGCACTTTCCATTTTTATGTTTGTGTGTGTGTGTGTGTGTGTGTGCGTGTGTGTGTGTGTGCGTGCGTGTGCATGTGTGTGTGTGCATGTGTGTGTGCGTGTGTATGTGTGTTTGTACTAGTAATGAAGTTCTATATACATCTTTAAAATGTTAAATTTTAGTGGTAAAATATATTATGCACAGAGGGCCATTTTATTGGTAGGGAATTGTAGAGAGTGAAATTTGGTTTCAAAAGTTACCTAGCTTGTATGAACCAAGTTTTTTATCTTTATACGCAGTATGAATATGCTGCACATGGCATATGGACCTTTTTGTTGCTTGTAAAGGTCCATTATTGACCTGTTGTGACATGATTCCATTACAAGTGCTTATGGCCATTTTTCATATCTTTGGATAGTGAAAAATTATGGTTGTTTTAAACCTAGACAAAAATCTTCTGAGAATTTTTTTCGTGGGTTTTAGATGATATTTTGGGTCATCCAAATTGAACAATTTGCTGTGAGGCATTATTAAAATAAGGCGATCCAGGCCATTGACCTTTATAAGACAAACTCTGAGCTTGTCTCTCAACTTCTAATAGCATTAACAAATTGGCTTAAAAGGACTGACATCTAGAAAATTGATATTTATAACCTATTATGATAAAAGATACTGGTACTGGACATTGCACATCACAGCACATGCAATTCAACCTGAAGTGTTTTGTTATGTTGATGATTATGGTGCAGTCAAATTTAACCTTATAATGTACTGCAGTTTTTAAAGAATATTTTTAAGGAGTTTGGTTTACATGAAGCGAATAGTTAATGTGACAGTCATGAATTATTTTACAGAAAAAACAGTAGGTCATCTTCAGACTCTTCTGTTTGGGGGATCATTGCAGACTTTTTTTTTGCTCTGTAATATCTTTTTTTCCCACAATTACACATTAGTATTTTTTACCATGTAAAACCTTTTTTCCTCTGTAATATCTTTTTTTCCCCTGAAAAAAAGGCAACTTTTGCCTGCTCACCAGTCATCGCTCAACCTGTCTTTGCACTTGGATGTTTTATTCCATTTTTATTTTAATGGTTGAGTTTTTAATGACTGTCATTTCATCGTCTTCCTGTATATTCAGAAAGAACTATTGCTGTCAGCTATTTAAGCTTTTTTAAAAGTTTTTTAGGGCTGAATTGAGAAAGATAAGCAGTTTTGCAGGATATTTAGACATAGAAAATAGGTAATTTTCAAATGAGTACAGTGTGCCTTTAATTCTGAAATTCTCACATACTATCTGTTGCTTTTATTATCTATCTTTAACACACTTTGACCGTTAAATCTAACTTGTGCCAAACATCCTATTACATTTGGTCAGTGTACAGTATCGAAATGTAAATTAGTGCGCAAAACATTAGAAATTTATCTTCATCAAATCCAAAGGTTTGAAACTTAAAAAATGAGAGATAATGATAAGGAATCTCATACATTTCTCACCGACAGTCAATCATTATTTTTCAATATGCATTGAAATATATCATTTCCCACCCATTTTATTGCAGGTGTGACCGACAAACCCAGGTCACCTGATGACCACTGCTGGACTGACAGGGAATGACCCTCTCTGGTCAGTATGCCTGCTAATCGTAATTTTTTTATTTCTGTTTTTTAGAACATAATTATGTATGAGTGGTTGCCAACACTGTTGAATGAGAAGATTCCAGAGTACACAGGTAAGTGAAGATGTTGTGTATCTTTATTGTGTATTATTATTTTACAAAAATATGCTTGCATGATGGTAATAAAGTGTTTTGTCATTATTTCACGGTAATAGTCTCTACTGTGACAGTAAAAATTAAATGTCCAAATGCAGAAGAACATTTAGGATGGATTAGTTGTGGGAAAAAAATAATGATATGAGGCAAGTTTAATTTACACAGACTTGAAAAACATCAAATTTAAACTTAAATAACATCTTGACACAATATGAAGAAAGCTTACATGAAAACAAAAATTCTTTTTTATCAAAATACTTGTATTTATAATATTTGGTCTACCAGAAATTGGAAAATGCATGTACCCATGTTTACTTAAAGCTTTTATCATAAAATCTACTTTAAAAAAACACTACTGAACAGTTAAGGGTTTTATCTATTACATAGATGACAAAGGATGACAAGAGGTAATTTCCAGAGTTAATCATCCCTGGTGACAGATAAGAAAAATGACCTAAAATTTGATGCAATTGTAATTTGCAGAACAAGTTCACCTCTGTCTTGTAAATGCTTCTTTTCCATGATGTTACCCCACTGGCTTTGAGGTTTTGATTCTTTGTTACGGCTACTTGAGTAGAAATGAATGATGATTGTTTTTATGTCTGTCCTGCCCCTCTCCGCCCCTTTATTGCTGTGGTTAATAAGCTCAATTTTTTAAACTCAGATCATGTCAAAGATAACAACTTGCAAGATGGTTTCTCATGCTTGTATTGGGTGAAGGTTTTTCCCCATAGGGTCATATTTTTTAAAAATCATTTTCTTTAAGAGGAACTGTAACTTTTAAATAGAAGGAAATAGGAGAGCACCATACAAGAATGATTAATTAGCAATTTATTTTGGAAAGAGAAACAGAAGGTTAATGTTTGTAAGTGTCACACACACACAAACACACACACGCAGTGTTCACTTTTACCATTATCTTTTGACTGCTTTCCGATAATTGTTTCAACGATGGAACTTGGAGCAAAACTGATCTCCTGCTTGAAGTAATCAGTTATAATTTCTCCTTGTCCTTTGATTTTACTGATCTTTTCTTGATTAGATAATTGCATAAATGGGTGATACCGTTACGTGCATGAAGATAAGGATACAGTTATATCTCTTGTCATGTAACAGACATATAAACGAGATCTCATGTAATGAGTCAGATGTTTTTTTTTTCTTTCATGCATGAAGTATAAAATTAGTTTTTCAACAGCCCTTGTGTGAGTTCAAGCTTTTTTTTTTCTCTTTTATCAAATTCTTTTCTCAGTAATCTCCACTATCATAGCATGCCAATATCAATCAGTGATGGTGATTCAAATGGAATGATAAAATGGGATTCTTAACACCATTTACTTTGACTGCAGTAACTTAGTGCCACATGTACCAGTCTCCGAATACAAGATCTTGTCAGGTGCTTCTTAGATCTCTCACCTGGTGCAATCAAAAGAAAAAAGATGGAGATGATAGCGACAAGATTCAATGTCTTTTACAATAGCTGCACTGTTTCGATGTTTCACTGCATGCAATAGATTCATATGAAGATGTGTCGATGTTGAAATGACAATCTAGACTTAATACCGGTGTAACATGAAAATGTGACTCCCATGAAAATGTGACTCCCCAGTCAGATTTTCATTATGAAAATGTGACTCCCCAGTCAGATTTTCATAATGAAAATCTGACTCCCCCCATGACAATT